GGGGCAGCGGCAGCTTCAGAGTCCACCCCCGAAGGACCAGGCGCACCACCCCCAGAGGCAGCACCAACACCAGCTCCAGACCCAGGCTCACCAGAACCCAAAGGAGGCGCACCCTCACCCCCAGACGGAGCACCTGCAGTGGCCGCGCGACCAGCACCAGCTCCCGGAAGACAAGAGTCCTCTGCACCCACCGGCTCAGCTCCAACTCCGGCACCCCCAGAACCAGAAATCGGTACAGGAACAGGCTCGGCACCAACCTCTCGAGAGCTAGCACCTGCGGCACGCTGCGAGGAGGACTGTGGGGAGGGAGGCTGTACCGGAGGGGCTACCGAAGGAGGAGGGGTAGCCTAGGAGACACCTGATGGGGCTGGACCAGGGGGGGGAGGCTGTACCGGGGGAGCAGGAGGGGGAGTGGCAGTCAGGAAGAGGGGGGGAGGAGGAACCGGGAGACCGTGATTGGGGTACCTGACGTAGTACGGGGTGGACTCCTCAAAACGGACGTCACGGGAGTCAAAGAACCGGTGAGAGGGAGGGTGGTAAAAGGTGAAGTCAGAGGAGTCCTCAGGGAAACCAAGGAAGACACAAGGAATGGCGCGAGGCGAGAGCTTGTCCGCAGAGGTGTCGCGGACAAGAGCCAAGCAACCCCAAACACGAAACCTCGACGCAACACCAGGGGACCCAGTCCAAAGACTGGTCGGCGAAGCCTCTGGCCGAGAGACGCGTGGCCAGAGGTTCAGCTGGTGCGCGGCGTATCGAACCACGTAAGGCCACAGAAAATGGGGGGCACGGGCGTGAGTCAGGGAGGTGCGGGCGATCTCCATGACCAAGCCTATGCGGCGCCCAGCAACCCCATTCTGCTGTGGGGAATCTGGAAGCGTCCAGGACTGAAGAATGCCCTGCTCGCGACAGAATCCAGCGAGAATGCTGGAGCGAAACTCACCCACGCGGTCGGAGTGAAGACAGCTGACACGAAGACCACGAGTGTCCGCGGTGGTGAGCAACCACCTGATCAGCGTAGAAGTCACCTCAGACTTCTTCGCCAAGGGGAACACCGTGGTGTAGCGGGAGTAGTCGTCAATGACCACCAGAAAGAAACGCTCACGCTCAGGGCCAAGGCGAGAGGCGGGGCCCCACACGTCCAAGTGAAGCGTCTCAAACGGCTCGGTGGCCGGATGAAGGGAGGAGGAGTGAGGGGTGGCGCGCAGCCGACCCTCGACGCAAGGACCGCACGGTGGTGCAAGGGACGGCGGCAGCGACGGCAAGACACGCGGGAGACCTAAGACCAGACGCTGACTAGACATAGCGCGCAGACGTGGAAGAGAAGGGTGTCCCATCCGGTGGTGCCACAGAACGGTGGGGTGGGCAAGCGACTGGCAGGAGCAAGACGCAGCGACTGGACTAGACGCGACTACCTGAGGGGACGTAACCACCTGGTGAGACGCAGGGAGGAGACTAGGGGGAGAGACAGGAACTGGGAGTAGGGGCTGCTACGACGGCGGCTGCTGCGGCTGCTGCTGCTGCGGCAGCGGCGGCGACTGCTGCGGCTGCTGCTGCTGCCGTGCACGCGGGCCAGTGTGAAGAGTGTAGAGACCGGAGCCCGGCTCAGCAGCAAAGGTGGCCAGAGGCTGGTAAGAGTCCCCGTCAACACACACTGCAGTCTCCCCAGAAGGCTCAAACCACACACCCACGTGCTGACTCACGAGGGGTCGCACGCCCACCAAGTTCCGGGAGAACGAGGGGACATGAAACCCAGTGAGAGACCCGGAGGGAGCAACAAGACACGGCAAAGTGGTAGTGTGACGCGCAGTGACTGGTCCCGAGGTGGGATCAGCCAGCGTCACAGAGACAGGCGCATGAAGTGGCGTAAGTGTCGTGCTGTCACGAAAGAAGCAGTGCGAGGCTCCGGAGTCCAGCGTGAAAGACTGTGAAGCGTCCTCCGAAGTAGCCGCTGGACTAGTGTCTACACAAGAACCTACACTAGCAACAGGCAACTGAGCAAGGCTAGCTCCTAAGCTAACAACACCAGAGTAAACAGAGTCAGAAACACTAGAGTCAACAACAACATACATAGCATGAGGAGTTCCAATCAGATCAGCTAACTGCTCGGCAGACATGTCCCACAGAGCGGAGCCGTAACGCTGAACAAGGGGAAACCAGTCAGGGGCAGGACCACCAACCCCGTAAACCAAACGAACCGTGTCATTGAGCTGAGCAAAACACTGACCAGGGGGGTGAAGGCGGCCACAAGGGTGGCCCTGGCGAGCACCTGTCAGAACCTGATAGGCGCAGGAAGGGTAAACAGCACCACGCTGCGGGTGACGCGGCCCCGGCCCCGAAGCCAGCTGCGGCCGCTGCTGCTACGGAGGCTGCTGGGAGGAGAGGGGCTGCTGCTGCTTCTGCTGAAGCTGCTGCTGACGCTGGGCCCGGTACCACGCCGCTGCTCCACCCACCGGGGCTGGCAGCACAGGGGGCGACTGACGAACTCGTGCGTCGCCACCACCAGCAGTCGCAGTCACCGGTCGCTGCACGAGACGTCTCTCCAGGCCCTGCACTCCCACCACCACCAGTCGCAACGCCACCCCCACTACCTCCGCCTCCACCAACGCCGCCGCCAGCACCGCCCCTCTTGCCACCCCTACTGCGGGACCGCGACGAAGTCGTAACAGCAGCTGCGGTCGCGTCAGTAGCGGCAGTGGCGAGAGAGGCAGTAAAGGTGGGCAACTGCGGGACTGTGCACCCGTGGAAGAGTGGGGGGGGCACAGCACCAGAGGCAGCGGCCACGGAGCGGAGGTTACTCTCGACGTCCTTGAGTGCAGACTCAAGGACGTCAACAGTGAGCTCACTAGGGTGCTTCAGGAGAAGCGCGTCACGAACGGAGGCAAGGCAGTCGGGGAGGCTAGTGGCGATAAAATAGATAGTAATTGCCATGGGAGGAGGAAGCAGTGCGAGCTGTGCCTCAGTGCAACAGGAGGAAAAGGCGGTCAAGAGAGACAGCAGCAGGAGTAGAGTAGCGGGCCTTAATCGCATTCAGGTACTCAGCAGCAGTGCGAACCTGAGCAAAGTGAACCTCCTCAGACTCAGGGAGGAGGGTGCTGAGCGCGATGCAGGCCGCAGCGTCACGAGACGTCCAAGCTGTCAAGCCAGCGCGCTGGCTAGCAAAGAGGGCTCTAGTGGCGTCGTCAGGGGCAGGGCCTAAAGGCGTAGGGTCGGGGGGCGCAGGGAGGGCACCAGTAGCGTGCGCCCACAGGGTCTCGCCTGACTGGACCTGACTCTCTAACTGACGGCGAGCGCGTAGAAGCCAGAGCGAAAAGTCAAGGGGTCTACCGTCAGCGTCGAAACGAAGAACACGCGGAGTCGCCATATTTAAAACCGACGGAATAGCGGATGCAGTAGGAAAACGAGGTGGCGTGGCGACACTCGGTGGCGTGGCGGCCAACGCGGCACGCAAGCACGCAAGGAGAAAGGGAGGCACGGGCGCAGCGGGCGAGCGGGCGAAGGGACGCGGGGCGGGCGGATAGGCCTGGCGCGACACGACGGGCAGGCGTTAAGGGCAGCCGCGCGGGGGGACGGCGCGACGCGACGAGCAGCGGGCGGGAGGGGGGGGGGGGGGGGGGGGGAACGCGACGCGACGGGCAGCGGGCGGGCGACGCGGGGCGACGAGCAGCGGGCGGGGGGTCGACGCGACGCGACGGGCAGCGGGCGGGAGGCGCGACGCTACGGGCAGCGAGGAGGGGGCGACGCGACGCGACGGGCAGCGGACGAGCAGTGGGGGGGCGACGCGACGCGACGGGCAGCGGGGGGAAAGCGCGACGCGACGGGCAGCGAGGGGGGGCGACGCTACGCGACGGGCAGCGGGGGGAGAGCGCGACTCGACGGGCAGGGAGGGAGAGCGCGACTCGACGGGCAGGGGGAGAGCGCGCTACGCAACACGGTAGGCAGGTCGGCGTAGCAGGCACTGACGAACGAGCGGAACGGGCAGAACGAGTGGAACGAGCGGAACGAGCGGAACAGGCTCGGGCGGAACGAACGTAAACGGGAGGAACGGGATCCTACAGGATCCTAACCTAGGTGATACCATATCAGAATCGGAAGTGTTGGTTCATTGATGTTGGTTGGGGTACAAGTAGCAAACTCTAACATGTGTACCCCCTAAGACAAACCTCACTACAGGCTACCAACATTTGACAGTTCACTGTACTTGTAGGTGGTCAGATTAGGTGACAGGAAATACCGTAATGTTCATTGTACTGTCAATAACTGTAAAATGCACTAGCTAAGGCTAACACATGACAGTCAAATCTGCATTGCTAAACAGGGAGGAAAGACCACACTACACCACACTATGTATGTACATTCCTGCCACCCACTGCTGCTGCACCAATATAGCTGGTTAAGGCTAGCCGCAACAGCAAGGGGCTGAAGAAGCATGACAAACTTGTCCTCGGCTAAGCGGCTATACGCTGCTTGCATAGACACTTTCTCCAAGGTAGGCAGCAACGAGGGTGTAATATTGGGGGGCCCAGTTCATCCTGCATGTAGCCGAATCCCCAATCTCCTCGTCACAATGCCACCCACCTTTTATTCCCTTCACTTACACATGCACACAGTGCTCCCTTCATTCCCTTTCTCCCCCCCAGCTTCACGACCCACCCCCTTTCCCCCCCAACCATCTCATTCGCCACCGCTGCTGCAATCCGTCCCAAGAACCGCAATGCCCACCAAAGCAGCGCCAAGCAGCATATGCCTTCCTTCTGAAGCGGTCGGAAAAGGAGTGACCATCTGTGCACCACCATGCCTCCAGCTACCCTGGCCCTTTGAACTGCTTCTTCGGCCGCTGGGACGCCCTAAAACTGCTTCTTCGGCCGCTGGGACGCCCTAAAACTGCTTTTTTCGGCCGCTGGGACGCCCTAAAACTGCTTCTTCGGCCGCTGGGACGCCCTAAAACTACTTCTTCGGCCGCTGGGACGCCCTAAAACTGCTTCTTCGGCCGCTGGGACGCCCTAAAACTGCTTCTTCGGCCGTTGGGACCGCCGCGGGCGCAGGTTGATCCCACTCGGATGAGGCGAAGCCTCCCCCACCACTGTGGCTGCTGCCACGTCATCCACTTGATCTGGTGCCACGTCATCAAACCCAGCAGCAGCAGCATCGATGCTACCGCCCCCCTGGCCACCCGCAACCCCAGCTGGCAGCAGTGCAGCCGGAGGCAGAGTGCCGTGCAGCATGGCAGGTGGTGGTGCTGCCTGCCTTGCTTGGCTGTTTGAAGGGCTCAAAGCTCGGCCCAGACCCGCAAGGCCTGCAGCCAGGTGCTTACTCCCCCACCACCCACTTCCACCACCTCGCCCTGTGCCAGCAGAGCCAGCTGCGGCAGCAGCTGCACGCTCATCTGCTGCTGCTCCCGTGCTGAACTCCCTCTCAGTGTCCACCATCTCGAACTCACTGCTCGCTCCACTCCCACCACTCGCCCCATCGCTCTCCCCACCGTCCCCATCCGAATCCGAGTCCACATTCCTGTACCGCACTGCCTGCCTCTGCACCCCCTCCCTCTGCTCGCTCCCCTGCTGCACCCTCTGCTCCTCCGCCTCTGCTTTCCGCCCATTATTGGGTGTTCCCTCTGTCTCCTCTCCCTGCAACCGTCTCTCATACCCCCCCTTCTGCACTCCCACTGCCGACCTCAGCTGCACCGCCTCCCCTCCGTACTGCTGCAGGTACTTCCTCCTCCCCCTCACCTCCTCCTGCTGCTCCTCCTCTCCCTTCCTACCCTCTGCTCCATCCGGCCTCTCACTCCTCAGGACCTCAACTTCGCTCTCCCTCCTCTCCCTTTCCTCCCGCCTCCCACTCCCGTCCATTCCTCGCAGTGCTGCTGACGCAGCAGCCTGTGCTGACAGGGACGCCAGGTAAGCAATGAGCTCCTCGAATCGAGCACCAGTGTATGCCACGCCAGCACGCCAACATTCCACAGCCATGTCCCTCCCCCGCTCCTCCAGGTGTGCCAGGTGGCGGTCAATGATTGGCTCGTGGCGGGTCAGCAGAGGTTGCAGCATCGACCCGTACACAATCTCTGTGCCCTGAGAGGGGGCGGACCGAGGCAAGGACGGGGTGGGGACGAAGGAGGGTGAGCCGACGACATGAGCAAGAAGGAAGGAAGGAGGGCGTGTCGAGGAGAGGCAGGGCCGCAGAGTGGAGAAGGAGCATGGCAGAGGTGGCAAACATGTGCAGGCGAATCGGCAAACGCGACAGAGGAGAAACGACAATCACGGAGGAACAGCGACACGTACGGCTACTGGACGGTTCAAGACAAGGCCCGGTGCTCACATGTGCGAGTGGGAAGCGGGAACCACAGAATGACCATCAATAAACTCGTAAACTCTACACCTGTCATTTAGCCACTGACCTGCGTGCGGGGGTGCCAGAGGTAGATGATAAAGGCGAGCTTGGCCTCGTGGTACAGCGGTATCCTGGTGGGGGGGCGCAAACACGCAGAAGGGCAACACGGCGCAGCAGCACGTGTTAGGCGCTCGATGTCCATGTCACACAGTCACACGCGTCACTTTCGCGGGCCTCATTGTCACATGCGTCACTGTCGTATGCCCCATGTGATCATTCTTAAGGAACACTTATGAGGGCAAGGACGCGGTGACCCGCGGCGTCAGCACTCACCAGTCCAGCAGCGGCGCGGCGAGACCCTCAAAAAGGGCCAGCAGCGATAGTAGCACCCTGAGGTGGGGAGCGGCGGAATGGGAGACGAATTGAAAAAGGGCGGTGATTAGTCGCATGGGGATGGGATGGAAGATGACGGCAGGATAGACATGGAACAACGGGCGAGGGATGACGAGGAAGTGAAAGGCGTCACGAAGAGAACGGAGCAAGGACGCGGAGGATCATAGGCAAGGAGGCGAGATGCTATGGCGCGGCTAACACGGCGAGTCTGAGGACAAGACGAGGCGTGCAGACCACACCAGCATATGGGGGAGGACGGTGCAGGCGGGGGTGGGGAGGACGGAGGGGACAGAGGGATCGACGGAAAGGCGTAGTGCAGTACGAGGGGAAGGCGCGGGATGCAGCACGAAGGGAAGGCGGAATGCGGCACGGACCAGAACTGGCAGAAGAAGAGGACCTCGTGCATGTCAGGTCGGCGTCGCTGCATGGTTTTGAAGCAGCGGTACGCCGGATACCCGTGCGCCGCCACCATGCTGCGAGGGGATAGCGAGAAAGAAGGATTCGGACGAGGCAAAGAAAAATGGTGTGAATTCGACAGCTCATGGCCACGATGGTGCGGCGCGCGGGATGGTTACTCGGCTGGAGCTTGAAACGCAATGCCACAGTCGAAACGGCCACTATTATCGAATGCGACATGTCGATAAAGAAAGCAGGTGGTGGCGGAGGCAAAAACAATCCCGTGCATGGTACTCAAAACGTCGAATTGCTCTCGTCGTGGCAGCATCGGGGGCTGCTGGAGCCCTGGCACGTGAGCTGTAAGAGCAGTGAACGATGGCGTTGGGGTGTCGAGAGGCGAAGGTGGGTAGACGGTGTTCGTTCCTTGATACACCCAACGATGGGTAGAAGGAGGTTTGAAACGGCTAACACCACACGAACGAGCGGCTTTCAACTAGGGTACATTGCTTTTACGAGAACGCGTCAGCGACGGTCGTCGCCGTTTTGTGCGAAGTTGGTTAATCCGGCACGTAAAACAGAGAGTTGATAAGCGTTAACAAAAACTCGAATCGCTTACGTGGCAGCTGTCAGAAGTGGTCTCGGCAGCATGTTGCACGACGACGCTAGCGACGATGCGACAGCCCGAAGGTAGATGTACGAGGAAATTTGACCGCTAGCGGAGCACGCAGATGATATCCAACGAAAAGCAACACCGGTGAACGGGAGTGAAGGCGACAGCGAAGAATCACGGCTCGCGGTCAAGTGCGTGAAGCTAGTAACCAACCGCAATATAAGCCTAATCCGTGCTGCAGCGCTTGGAGTTCAGCCTTTCCAGTGCATCAACTGAATGACTGAGCTAACAGAGCAGTAAGTACGAGCTACGAGCGATATACAAGAATTAGAATTGAGGGGAATACGGCTCTGCCTCAAATGGGCCATGGGATGGGATGATAGCCTTGAAGCTGCCGCAAAGCACAGAACCACTTCAGCGCGGGATTCCCCCCCCCCACGAAGGTCCAGCCCCGCCTGGTCATGTCACCTATGGGATGTTTTGCTGCTGGCGGCGGCGGAACCCGCTCCGCTGCAGCCACGGCGGAAGGAACAGAGGAAGAAGTGCGCGGGAACCCAACAAGCGGTGTTGTTGAGGGCAAGCGCTTCGAGAACTCGCATTGGCGGGAAAGCCAACGGTTGCAAACATCCCCGTAACAAGACAATCTGTGAGGAACACACTAGTAGAGACTAACGACTACATTATTGCAACAGTTGTGAAATTCATTCATCCGCTCTCCCATAAAGATCACTGTAGATATTTGTCATTTCAGATGTACTGTTTGATGAGATGAGGTTGATGAGTGCCGTCTCTGAGGTGAGAGATCAGGGAGAGACAGTAGTTTCATTTCCACCAGGATGCAGGCATCGCATTCGCACGAGCGGATGAAGTGCGGAAGTTGAAGCAGTTGAGCAGGGAGGGCAGCGCTAAGCGTGCAGGTGGTCATGCGCTTATTTGTGCAGTGCCGAAGGTGAGAGTGAAGTAGAACCAGTTGGGCAAGGAGGGAAGCACAAAGCGCGCATGCACATCAGCAGCAGTGGGAGTAACAGGGAAGGTGAGGGTGAAGTGATAACAGTTGAGCAGGGTGGGCAGGGCCAGGATGCTCATGCGCTCAACTCTTCAGCACATGCTTCCACACCAACACAAGAGGAGGCCTCAGTGGGTGCAGCGTGGAAGGAGAGAGTGAAGTAGAAGCAGTTGGGAAGGGAGGGCAGGGCGAGGCTGGCCATGGGATGGGCGAAGGGCATGCGGAAGGGGTTCAGTTGCACCTGCCAGGAGGTGGGGAGAGGAGAGGCTGGGAGGGGTAATGGGATGAATGATGAGAAGGATGGTGAGAGGAGAGGAGGGTGGTCAGGGAAAGGAGGGCAAGGGTGGACATGGGATGGGCGAAGGGCATGCGGAAGGGGTTCAGACGCACCTGCCACGGTGTGGAGAGAGGAGAAATGAGAGGGGTGGTGGGTTGAGTAAGAGCGGTGGGGATCAATCGCAAGGGGCAACAGAAGGGTTGGTGAGAGCCGCAGTGAGGAGTGGTGGTGGTGGTGGGAGGACAGAAAAATACAAATGTGCAGTCTGAGGAGTGGTGAGGGGTGCTACGGACCTCGGACATGAAGCATGAACTATATGGATTCGATAGGGGTTGAGGCTCACAAATAGGAGTTACCCTACTTGGGATTGGGTAACCAACCTTGGCCTACTTGGACTCCAAAGTGGTTTGGAGATTATTGGAACACCCATAATGTTGACTCACCTTTGACAAAAAGCTAATGAGAACCGTTACAATTTCTCAACCCAGCATACTGCTGGGTTCCAGAATGGTTGGACAGGTTCTCACTTTTCCTTCTCACAACCCAACCCAATCACTCACCTTCCCTCACACTGCCATTCATAACCACTCCTATTCCAATCCAATCTTATCAGCAATACTTCTTTCGAAGTTCCTTATCCTCTGGTTCCTAGCAGCATTCTTCTTGACACCCGTGACCCCCCTACCTCGCTGATGACAGGCTGCAGTACCGTGCCTTCTACAGACCCTCCCTTGCCACCCCCTCGCACCGCTCCTCCCTCCCTGCACCTTTGCACGTCAGCAGCCAGCGAGCAGAGCGCCTCGCGGGCTCTCTCTGCTGCCTCGTGGCTGTAGTCCGTGATCAGCGCCGGTATTCCGAGCTCCAGTATGAGGACCTGATGGGGTTTAGATAGAGGGGCGAGGCATGAGGGTCAAGCAAGCAGCTCTCTCTGCTGCCTCCCAGCTGTAATTCGTGATTAGTGCTGGCAGCCCGCTGCGCAGCATGAGGACCTGACGGGAAGCAGACATGGGGCAAGAGGGAGAAGAGAAGGCAGCATAATAATGTGCGGATGGGGATGGAGCAGGTGGTGCAGCCCCCCCCGTCTCCACATGCCTTGAGCGTCTCCCTGGCTCCCTGGCTCTCTCTGCTGCCTCGTGTCTGTTGGTCGTGATGAGCGCTGGCAACCCAACATGAGGGCCTAACAGGAGAAGCGGGACAGGGCAGCCCGATGCTGCGAGGGCTGGCTGTGGCCCCTGTGGCGCCTCCCTTACTCGCTGTGCTGCCTCGTGGCTTTAGCCCGTGACCAGCGCTGGCAGCCTTTGATACACCATGCGGAGCTGGGGGCAGAGGGAAAAGGCAGAACAATGATTTGAGGAGCGGGTGGTGCAGCCATCGTTCATGCGTCGCGTCTGAGAGTCCATGATGAGCGCTCGCAGCCGTGCTGCAGCATGAGGGTCTGGCGGGGGGCAGACAGGGGGCGGAGGGAAGAGGCAGCACGGCAGTGTGATGGGAGGACTGGACGGAAAGGGTGGTGCAGGTGCAGATTCCCTTCATCCCTGGTGGTTGTGATCGCTGCACCAGGGAGCACTGATGAGTGCTGGCAGTCCAGTGCATAGAGGAGGATGTGCGATGTGAGGACTTGGAGGAAATGGAACGTTCAGCCCTCCAAGATGCCTTGTTGTGGCAGCCCGTGGTGCAGCATGAGGGCATGGCGGGAGGCAGGAGTGGGGAAGCAGTGGGGCAGCAGTGGGACAGCAGTGGGGCAGCAGTGGGGCAGCAGTGGGGAAGCAGTGGGGCAGCAGTGGGGCAGCAGTGGGGCAGCAGTGGGGCAGCAGTGGGGCAGCAGTGGGGCAGCAGTGGGGCAGCAGTGGGGCAGACGTGGGGCAGCAGTGGGGCAGCAGTGGGGCAGCAGTGGGGCAGCAGTGGGGCAGCAGTGGGGCAGCAGTGGGGCAGACGTGAGGCAGCAGGGTGGTGTGACATGAGGAATGGGACGGAGTGGGTGGTGAAGACGGGAGTGAACCCTCCGGCATATCTTGAGGCTGAATCTGATTGGCAGCATGAGGACTGGCAGGCAGGGAAGGGCAGGGAGGATTGGGCCACAGACCAGCACGAGACTGTGAAGGCAAGGAGTGTCGGAGGGGCAATGAAGGACGTAATTCGTGGGAGACGGAGGGGATGAGAGCAGAAGAGGAGGTGGCAGCATAAGAGAAGCACTTTCATCCCCATCTCCTGTGATGCATTCAGCTGCCTGCTTCGCCCCTTTTTCCTCCTTCCAAGTGTGCATCTCACCTCACCCACCCAGCCCCCCTCCCTCCAACTTATCCTCTCACTCACCACATTTCACTCACCAGCATGTCTCGCCAGGAGGGGAAGGCAGGCAGGCCCGCGTTGGGAAGGAACAGCAGCGTGGGGCAGTGGCATGAGTGTGGCTGATGGGTGCACTGGTGGGAATGTGGGCGACGTGGGGTGCTGTGATGGAAAGGGGATGGGTGCTGAGGGCAATGCGGCGAGGTGCAGGGGAGCGGCGAGCAGGCAAGGGAGGGTAGCACGTGGTGATAGAGGCCTCGATGGAAGTGCACTGCCACGCCTGCTGTACCGCCTGCTGCACCGCCTGCTGCACCGCCTGCTGCTTCCAGTGGTTGTGGCTTGTAAGATTGTGGTTCGGCTTGTTGTGGTTTGGAAGGTTGTAGCTCAGAAGGTTGTGGCTCGACAGGTTGTGGCTCGACAGGTTGTGGTTCGGCAGGTTGTGGTTTGGCAGGTTGTGGTTCGGCAGGTTGTGGTTCGACAGGTTGTGGTTCAGCAGGTTGTGGCTTGCAAGGCTCAAAGACGGGAGGATGCAGAAGGAGAATGCGCTTGCCGTGCCTGCAGAGGCGGTTCGGTGTGGGGGCAGTGGGGATGAAGAGGGCGTGAGGGTGAGAAGTGAAGGCAAGGGGATGTGTGCCACATGGAGCAAGCACAGGGGATGGGTGGCACATGGTGCAAGCACAGGGGATGGGTGGCACATGGTGCAAGCACAGGGGATGGGTGGCACATGGTGCAAGCACGCAGGGCATACAGGTGTATGGCGCAAGGAGTGAGCCTACAGTGATTGGCACGTGGAGGAAAGTGTCAGAACTTGAGCTTAGAATCGATACTATAGTAGTGAGCTCAAAGCTCTTTAAGTACATCCGGAATGAGCAAGGTAGGGATGAGGAGGGAATCAGGAGGCAATCCTAGGGAATCAAGGGTAATCCCAAGGCAATCTCCAATTGGTGGGTTGGAGATTGCTTGGAGATTACATTTGGGTTTGGTTGGGATGTGGGTGTACACCCAACCAAACACAAAGTGCAAACTACACTAAACTAGGATATAAAAGTACAAGTACAAAATGTGAGATTGGGGCCTATCACCAACACCCCCCCTGAGGCGTCAATCGAACTCATGGCGGAGGAGGAGCGCAGAGCCCCATGGCGCCAAGGAGACGATGGTGGGGAACCTTCCCAAGGGGCTTGGTGAACAGGTCAGCCAGGTTGCAGTCAGATGCCACGTATTCCACCTTCAGCTGCTCTTGTTGCACAAGGTGACGAATGAAGAAGTGCCGAAGTTCAATATGCTTGGTGCGGGTGTGATACACAGGGTCTTGAGAGATGTGGATGGTACTCTGGTTGTCACACCAGAGGGTGGGGGGTGACTGAGGGAAGCCAAGCTCCTGGAGTAGGAAGGTGAGCCAACGGGCCTCCTGAGCAGCCATGGTGCCTGCGTAGAGCTCCGCCTCACAGGAGGAGAGGGAGACTGCAGACGACCTGGTGGAGCGCCAACTGACAGTTCCGCTCCCGAGGGTGAAGCAGTACCCCTGAGAGGAGCGTCGGTCGGTCTGGTCATCAGCCCAGGAGGAGTCTGTGTAACCTTCCAGGCGAGGAGGGGAGAGCCCACCGAGTGTGAGAACGTGGGACTTTGTGCCCTTAAGATAGCGCAGCACCCGCTTTGCTGCCTTCCAATGAAGATTAGTGAAGCGACCCGGGGCCACGTAACGAGAGAGAACACTGACTGGGTAGGCCAAGTCCGGTCGGGTGCACATCATGGCGTACATGAGGGACCCAACAAGTTCCGGGTATGGCTCAGAGCAGGCCTCTGGTGTGGGTACAGCAGGAGCTGTAAGGAGGTGTTGCAGCGGCAGCGGGGTGGCAACAGGTGTGCACAGCTCCATCTCAAACCGCTTGAGCACATTGTCGATGTAGAACTCCTGGGAGAGTGAGATGGTGCGAGCCTTGCGATCACGAGTGATCTCCATTCCCAGGTAGTGCTTGAGGTCACCGAGGTCTTTCATCTGGAGGGCCTTGCTCAGGGCTGCCTGGACTGAGGTCATTTGGGCCGAGTCCTTGGCAACGAGGATAAAATCATCCACGTAGACTAGGATGTAGAATGGCTCAGAATGACGACGGATGAAGAGAGTCGGGTCAGCAGTTGAGGGGTGGAAGTCCAGGGAGAGGAGGACTTCTTTCACCTTGTTGTGCCATTCGCGAGGGGCTTGTTTAAGGCCGTAGACGGGGCGATTCAGCTTCCAGACAGTGTTGGGAGGGAATTCTCCTGGGAAGCTTTCTGGTCTGTCCATGAACACTCTCTCCTTGAGACGTCCTTGTAGGAAGGCGGAGGAGGCATCCATGGATTTGATCTCTAAGTCTTCTCGAGCTGCAACATCCATGAGCGTTCGAATGGTGGGAGGTTTGGATGTGGGGGAGAAGATTAGGTCGAAGTCGCGGTACCGCTGCTGGGTGAAGCCCTTGGCTACGTAACGCGCTTTGAACACCGGTGCCTCGTCTGGGAGCTGTTTTACACGGAACAACCACTTGCCCCCGACGATGTTGACTCCTGGAGGTGGAGTCTCGTCGTCGAAGGAGTGGTTGCGAGTGAATGCTGCAATCTCCGCGTCCATGGCAGCACGCCATTCGGCAGCATGAGGGCCTGAGAGAGCCTCTTGGATGGTGAGAGGGATAGGGATGGTCGGGTTCTCCGCGAGGTTGAGGGAGGGTGAGCCAGTGATATCGGGGAAGATGTGTGAGAGCTGAGGAATGACTGCATGGAGATCACACAGCTCCTCATGCCTGTCTTCTAGAAGGGTAGAGGGCACATCCCCCCTAGCAGGAGGAGGCGGTGTGATCGTTGTGTATCGAAGAACCATTGCGAGTGGAAGAGCAGCGCGATGGGAGCGGGTGCCATGAGCCACCGGTGAGGAGGGTGGGGCAGGCGGTGTCGGAGAGGGTGACTTAGGAGGCTTGGGTGGGGGAATGGGCCGCCGGCGGTACGTGATCAGCTCAGGCGACTGTGGGAGAGCGGGTTCCTCTGTGGTGGGGGGAACTGGGGGAGGAGGTGGGGCCGGAGGGTGGGACCGCCGATGGTAGGTGATAGGTGCGCTCGGAGGGGGCGGTGCAGCGGGAAGTGAGGAAGGTGAGGGGGGGGGCGGAGCAGCTGCCGAAGACACCGGTGAGGCCAGGTCAGAGACCTCAGAGGGAGATGGTGGGATGGCAGGAGAGAGAGGAGGTGAGGGGGCAGGAGCAGGCGGGAGGTCGGGAGGCGCGTCAAAGTCTGCCCACACGAGGGAGGGTGGATCAGGGAGAGGGTCTCGTCCTGAAGGGGAGTAGAATGGGCGGGTCTCATCAAAGACAACGTCGCGGCTCCTGACCAACTGTTGAGTGGAGGGATTGAGGAAGAGGTAGTCAGGTGAGTCGGCGTTGTGCCCAAGGTAGATGCACGTTTGAGTCTTGGGACCGAGCTTGCCACCGTTCTGGCTTCGAGCCTGAGGGTTGAGGAGGACATAGGCGGTGCATCCCCAAACGCGAAGAGAGCGAGCAGTGGGCGTTTTCCCGAGCCAGAGTGTGGTTGGAGTGGTGTCGGGAAGGTGCGGATGGGGGTAAAGGTTGTAGAGGAGGGCGGCGTGGTAGAGAGCGTATCCCCAGAGAGAGTGTGGAGCGTTGGAGTGGCTGAGGAGGCACCGAGTGATCTGCACTAGGGTGTGGTTGCGGCTCTCAGCTATGCCGTTCTGTTGAGGGCTGTCAGGGAGGGTGAAGTTTTGCTGGATGCCTTCGGAGGAGCAGAAGGCTTTGAGCTTGTCGTTGCAAAATTCACCCCCCCCATCCGAGTGAAGGCGCTTGACCTTGCGGTCAAAAGTGGTCTGTGCCTGCTTGACCCACGCCATGATGACCTCTGGAGCCTTAGCTTTAGTGTGGAGGAGGTGAACAGAGACGTATCGTGAGCGGTCATCCACGATAACTAGGAAGTAGCGATATCCACCTCGTGCAAGAACAGGGGCAGGGCCCCATACGTCCATGTGCACTAGGTCCAGTGGTGCCGCTGCGATTGTGGGTGAGGCAGTGTGGGGCTGTTGGCGCAGTTTGCTCTTGGTGCAATCAAGGCACGTGGGAGCGGGTGAGTCAGGTGGTGGAGGAAGTGTGGCTGGCAGGCCGAGAAGAAGTTTCTTGGAGGCCATGTCAGCAAGCGTGCGGAAGTTTGGGTGCCCTAACCGATGATGATAGAGGATGGTCGGGTTGGAGAGGCTGCGACATGTGCATGGTGTGATGGGAGCCTGTGCTTGGGTGGTTGAAACCTGTGGGAGAGGAACGCGTAGCGTGTAGAGGCCGCTGCTATTGAGGGTGAAGCGGGCCAAGACCTTGTTGGTGAGTGGGTCAATGATGTCGCAGTGGTCCTCATTCTCCGAGAAGATGGTGCGTAGCCCTGCTTTCTGAATTTCTGTTTGAGCCACTAGATTGTGGCGTAGTGAAGGCACGCACATGCCAGTGACGGTGCCGGAAGGGAAGGCTGGGCATGGGACTGTGGAGGTGCCCTTGGCTAGGGTGGTGAAGCTGGAGTCAGCTCCCAAGAGAGGGATAGGTGCTGGATAGGGTTTGAAGGAGAGTGTCTCCTTGAGCACAGTGTGAGTGGCCCCGCTGTCGAGTGTGAACTCTATGTACTGTGGTGCCTGTGATGAGTCGATGTACAGGGAAGTGGCTTCATTAATCATGGCAGTGCCAGGAAACAACAGGTTGATACGCACATCAACAAGAGCACTATCACTAGCACTAGCCGAAGAGGGGTCCTGGACCTCAACGAGATTGGCCTTACGAGCGCGCATCCAGTTTGGCGGCTTCTTGTCAACCCCGTGGATGGCATACCACTCGTCGTCTTTCTTCTTGAAGCACGTGGCAAGGGGGTGGTTAGTGCCACCACACACTTGTCCCTTGCGGTTGCCATACTTGACGACGTAGGTGCACGGAGGAAAGCGGTTGCGCTGGAAAGGCGCCGAGGCAAGGGCCGCTGCAACACTTGCTAGGGGCATGGGAGCACGGATGGCGTATGCCTTGGCCTGAGCCGTGGAGTCTTTCTCGGCAGGGAGGAGTGCGGTGGAGACCTTAGCAAAGGTGAGGTCTTCCGCTGAGAGCGTGAGGAGCATCTTCCTCGTGACTTCATATGCCGAGGAGAGACCAACAAGAAGGGCGGCTGCAGGGGCTTGTTCGGGGAAGACTATACCCAGCTCCTTGAGTTCACCATGAATGGTCTGCACCTTGGCGATGTAGTCAGCCATTCCTGAGCAGTCCTCAAGACGGACTTGAAACATGCTGGGGATGAGAATCGCCACTCCGACCGCCGTCTTGTTCATGAACCGATCCTGGAGATACTTCCAGATGGCGTTGGAGGTAGGGTAGTTGTGGAACGTGTTGACAAGTTCGGGAGGGGTGGAGGCAATGAAGACGCTGATGATGGCAGCATCAGCCTTCTCCCACTTCCGGTACTTCTCAACAGCTTCTTCGTACGTCATCACGTCAGCATCACTTGAAGATTCGGTCGGTTCACGGGGAAGAGTGGGCTGTTTCCCCTTGCCACGGTTGAGGAGGACGTCCTTGAGGTCAAGGCCCTGCACGTCACGGCTCAGGAGGTGCTTGTCAACTCCGTAGCTCCACGCCTTGAAGTTGGAGCTAGAGCCATCGGCTTCAAGGCGGAGCGGGGTGATGGGGTTCGCCATGGTGGAAGACGAGAAAGCCATGGTGGAGACCCCTTAACTTCTCGCGCGGAGCGCCGCTCTTAAGTCACCGATAGGAACTTGAGGTTTGGGGTTTCCAAAGGAGATTTTGAAGAACCGGAGGTTTAGGGTTTACGAAAGAGAATATTGAGGTTTAGGGTTTCTGAAGGAGAATTTGACTGAGACGCCAATTTAGTGTCAACTACCTACTAATCCTATTCCCACACACCCCCCCACACACCACCCTCAGCTTCGCGGCTACGCTGCTGCTCGGCTTCGCGGCTACACGGCTGCTCGGCTTCGCGGCTATGCTGCTGCTCGGCTGCGTTGCTGCACCTGTTCAGCTGCGGGAAAGAGGGGGGATGGGGGTAGGAGTGCAGATGCGGGGCGACGGGCGGCAGCCCGAAGATGACGCTGCGGGGCGACGGGCGGCGGCCCGACGAGAAGCTGCAGGGCGACGGGCGGCAGCCCGAAGAGAAGCTGCAGGGCGACGAGCGGCGGCCCGACGAGAAGCTACAGGGCGACGGGCGGCGGCCCGACGAGGAGAAGAAGTGACGAGAGTGACGAATTGATGAAAACGAGTGTTAGGTTAGAGCGCCGACGATGCGCTTACCAGAGAAGTTTCCGTCGATGGTGACGGGAAGATGTGGCGGGAGAAATTCCGCCGATGAATGTCGCGAATCAACGGCGACGAGATTGGCGATGGCTTCCCCGAGGTTTGCGGGACAAGTATCCGCAGAGATGAGAGGATCACGATCCGCGTATGCGGTTGAGCTGCTCTGATACCATGTCAGAACTTGAGCTTAGAATCGATACTATAGTAGTGAGCTCAAAGCTCTTTAAGTACATCCGGAATGAGCAAGGTAGGGATGAGGAGGGAATCAGGAGGCAATCTTAGGGAATCAAGGGTAATCCCAAGGCAATCTCCAATTGGTGGGTTGGAGATTGCTTGGAGATTACATTTGGGTTTGGTTGGGATGTGGGTGTACACCCAACCAAACACAAAGTGCAAACTACACTAAACTAGGATATAAAAGTACAAGTACAAAATGTGAGATTGGGGCCTATCACCAACAGAAAGGGCCACCACACATGCACCACATGTCTCCCCTCAACGCACTCCCCTCACGGCACTCCCCTCACGGGCTCCACCCCTCAAGCGTCACTACAGTGAGCTCCAGAGCTGGGTCTCACATGTGTGCAGGTATGTTGGGGCCAATGAGGTGCACACACGTGTCCACTCCAGGCAGCAGCACTCTCAGCTCTGCCAGTGCTGCCGCCTCTTGAGCCTCCCTGTCCGCCCCTGCAGGTGCAGGGCGTGGTGAGAGAGAGTGCGTGGTGAGAGGTAGATAGAGCGTGTGGTGAGAGGCATGCCAGGCACCCTCTAGGTCCTCCCTGCCCACCCTTGCAGGTGCAGTGCTTGGTGAGAGGGATGATGAGAGGCAGGGTGATAGGGAGGGCGTGGTGAGCTGCATGCCAGCGTGGAGAGTGTAGTAGGTGGGTGGTGAGGGGGGTTCAGGAGGGGGAAGGAAGGCGAGGGGAAGTTGGGTGAAGCTGTGGGGAACATATCTCCGACAACTCAATGGTGTTCAGCTCGTGGCAACATTTATCAAAATGTTAAAACGAATAACACTTGCCCAGGTGACGTTGGTTTCGTGGTGTAGTTGGTTTCGTGGTGTAGTTGGTTATCACGTCAGTCTAACATACTAAAGGTCTCTGGTTCAAGTTTGGGCGAAGCCATGATGAGGTATCTTTTGGAGATGCTTTCGCGAAAATTTCCACCACCCCCTCCTTACCTGCAAGCTTTGGCCTCCCAGCCTTGTCGTATTCCTTGCAATGACACCCTTTACTCAATGTCCCGACCTCATTTCTCTCCCCTTTCCCCCAAGCAGATCGTGAGGTGCTGGGAGACAACATACTGCATGGTAGGGCTGTGTTGTGGACTAAAAAATGGTGGTTGGCGTGGCGAGTGCCTGGCGCCTTATTAGGTGGTTATTGAGGTGTTCTATATATGAATTGAGGCTTGCCCGCCTAACTGCTTGCCTGCCTGCCTGCCGGCCTGCCAACTTGCCTGCCTGCATACCTGCCTGCCTATTTGCTTGCCTGCCTGCCTGCCTGCCTGCCTGCCTGCTTGCCTGCCTGCCTCCTGCTTGCTTGCCTGCCTGCCTGCTTGTTTGTCATGCAGGAGAGGCAGTCGGGGTGTGAAGTCACAGCCGCCCATGAGCGATCATGCATACACGCAAGTGTGATGGAGTGAGGCAAGGCAACCGATAGGGGAGGACCGATAGTGAGGCAAGGCAACCAGCAGCTGGTATAAATGGAGCTGCGATCGCACAGCCGGCAGCACACAGAGTGTAGTAGAAGGGAAGCAAGAAAGATGGATGATTGCTTGGCATATGTGGCTTAGAAACAGAGGAAAAGAGGGAAGGGGGGGGGGGGGGGGGGGGAGCACTGCTGCTGCCCCTCTGCACATGCGCTCTCATCCGCTCCTCCTCTCTCCTCCCTCCCAGCTGCAATGCGTGAAGCCACGTCAGCCCCTGAGGGCACGTCAGCATCTGAAGGCGTGTGGCCCGGGACTTGAGCGGTGGAAGGGAGGAGCAGGTGGAGGGCGAGGAGGATGGTGAGTGGCTGGTGGGGAGGGGAATGGCCAAAGGTGGTTGATAATGGGCGCACGCGCACCGATGGATGCGCACCAATCACATGGATGTAGAGGGAGGGGCGAGAGGTCAGACCACGCCGCCAGCACTGCTGCTGCCCCTCTGCACATGCGCTCTCATCCGCTCCTCCTCTCTCCTCCCTCCCAGCTGCAATGCGTGAAGCCACGTCAGCCCCTGAGGGCACGTCAGCATCTGAAGGCGTGTGGCCCGGGACTTGAGCGGTGGAAGGGAGGAGCAGGTGGAGGGCGAGGAGGATGGTGAGTGGCTGGTGGGGAGGGGAATGGCCAAAGGTGGTTGATAATGGGCGCACGCGCACCGATGGATACGCACCAATCACATGGATGTAGAGGGAGGGGCGAGAGGTCAGACCACGCCGCCAGCACTGCTGCTGCCCCTCTGCACATGCGCTCTCATCCGCTCCTCCTCTCTCCTCCCTCCCAGCTGCAATGCGTGAAGCCACGTCAGCCCCTGAGGGCACGTCAGCATCTGAAGGCGTGTGGCCCGGGACTTGAGCGGTGGAAGGGAGGAGCAGGTGGAGGGCGAGGAGGATGGTGAGTGGCTGGTGGGGAGGGGAATGGCCAAAGGAGGGTATTGGGGGTGGGGAGTGTGGTGGGGATAGTGAATGCGTGTCTCGTTGTTGAACAGAAGGAAATGAAGGAACGATTTTCTCTAAAGAGAGTCAAGGCAAAGGTCCCAGAATACTTACCCTACACACCACACCACACTGTACATCATACTCATACCTCACGCCCATACCTCACGCCCATACCCCATACCCATACCCTACGCCTCATGCCCATTTGTTCCTCACATCCACACCGTGTGCAGCAGCAGTGCAGCGGGCGAGTGGAGGGGAAGGCCTCTCCAGAGGTAGTAGTGGCGCCAGGAGAGCGGGGAGAAGGGTAGAGGCGGGAGGGAGGGGGGCAGTGTGGGGTGAATGCGCGGGGGACTAGAGGGCGTGGGTGGGGGCGCAGCACAAGAGGCGGAGCGGGCAGATGGGCTGCTGGGCGAGAGTAGAGCAGGCGGGCCGTTGTCAGGCCGGCTCTCGTCAGTGGTGGTTGGAAGCTCAAGAGCGGAAGAGCAGCCTGCCGGGGCAGCACGGGAGATGAGAAAAGGGGAAGCAAAACTTGGGGTTTGAAAAGCGAGTATAATTGGGCAAGAGATTTGGCTGAGAGAGTAATAAGGGCAAAGGAAAAAAATGTAACGCAGTGGAGACAGGGAAGGGACCAACAGGGACCAACAGGGACCAACAGGGACCAATACTGGGAGAGTGGGAGAGAATGATAGAAGGTGGAGAGAGTGGAAAGGAGCCTTACGAACCACAGAGGGCAGCGTAGGGACCACGGGCATGCAGGTGGAGTGAGGAAGGGAAGGAGCACATGGTGTGTCGCCCCTGCTCCACCTGCATCCCGCATGCAACCCACAGGCAGCCGGTGGAGAGGGTGGGAAGAGAGGCGGGAGATAGTGGAAGTGGCAAGGAGTACATGGTGGAGCGTGGGTATGCAGGTGGAGGGATGAGAGGTAGGAGCACATGGTGTGTCGCCCTTGTACAGGCATGGGCACATGATAGGCACATGTTCGGCACATGATAGGCACATGTTCGGCACATGATAGCTCTGATGTTGTCTTGCCTTGCCAACCTGATTTTACCATTGTTGTCAAACTTTCTCTAGTGAAACTCTTGCCAATTTGCCCCGTGAACTAGCAAGTAGTGTGTGCACTAGGAAACCGACTAAGGACCAACGAATGCAGAGATCACACGAGCACCCATGCCTAGCCCGTAGTCAAGCTCCCGTTGTAGTATTTATCTCCGCATAGTGTGGTGAGCGTGGACGGCACACGACTTACCTTTCAGTCAGGTCGACGTAGTGGTCACTTACCTAAGTTGCTCGTAGGCCGGCGGCCGTGCAGTCACTAGCATGCGCGTAGGTGACGCAGAGGTGATGGGCACCCTGGAGGCACGGCTGGAGGATGCGAGGAGACGCCATGAGGCCCAGGAGTACGGAGCGATACCCTGGGCGGTCGTCGAGGCTGAACTCCGCACCATGTGGGCGATGGAGCATCCCCCTTCTCGACCAGCTTCTCCTCGACCGGTGACCACTGAAGGCGGCGTCGACGTGGGAGTCAACGCCGGAGGTGGCCAAGTCGGCAGCTGTGCGGGAGGAACGTCGAGGCAGCGTGGTGTGATTCACGCCGACAAAGTCGGCGGCGTTCAGGCGCGAGGGGTGCAGTCGTCGGCGGCTGCTAGCTCCTCGCAGGGCGACGTCGGAGGACGACGAAGCGGATTCTCGCCGATGCCGGCGACCCAGGTGACAGCGAGCGGGATTGCGCCGAGCTACGGCTACTTCAAGTTTACGCCGGACAGGATCTTGGTCACCTCCCCTGCTGGTCGGTCGGCCTGACATCCTCACCTGGAAGGAGGCTATTGAGCCCCAACTCGAGATGGCCTGGCTGATTAACTTTGCCCGAGGCACCGTGGCGACGCCGGACGACCCCGATCTGCGTGCGGAGTTTCGCGCCGTGCAGCTGTTGACCTTCACAATCACATGATAGGCACGTGATAGGCATGTGATAGGCACATGACAGGCACATGACAGGCACAGGCACGTGATAGGCACACGATACGCACATAAACGGCCTGGGCCATGCCGATATGGAACGAGGTGGGGAAGACAAGGTGAGGCGTTGTGGTCATTGCAATGTCAGCAGATAAGCAGTGTGGCATGGAGATGATGATGGGCAGCACCGCACCGCACAGCACAGCACCGAACTGCACCACACTGCACCGCACCTGGATGACGGAGAGGTGCAGGAAGGGGAAGGGCAGGTCCAGCACAGCAGCACCGCACAGAACTGGACAGATACCGCACGCACCGCACCGCACCACACCACACCTGGATGACGGACTGGTGCAGGAAGGGGAAGGGCAGGGCCATGACAGCCGGTGCTCCCTGCAGCTGCAGTGAAAAGCGATGGCACTCACCCCCCTGCTCGTGCTGCCGCCAATGGGCTGCCTGAGGGAAAGCACGGGGAGTGGGGAAAAGGGGAAGGGGCATAGGGGATGAAGTATTAGGAAAGGGGATGAACCAGGCGAAAACACTCCCCCCCCCCCTGCGCGTGCTGCCGCCCGTAGGAAGCCTGAGGGGATGCATGGGGCACGGGTTAAGGGTATGAGGCATGGGTATGGGGCATCCAGCACAGCCGGTGCTCCCTGCAGCTGCAGCGCCAGGCGAGCGTGCTGCGCGCCGGTACTCCCCTCCCTGTGCGTGCTGCCGCCAGTGGGAAGCCTGAGGGGATTTCCCGTACGACATGCGGCATGGGGGATGGGAGTTGGGGCATGGGGCATGGGGGATTGGGAAAAGGAAGGACCGTTTGGGAAAGGAGGGGGCAAGTAGGAGAGCGAGAGGAGGAGAGGGGGGGAGAAGACAGGAGAGTAGAGGCGGAGAGGAGAGGGGGAGAGGAGATGGGGAAAGGAGAGGGAGAGGAGAGAGGAGGAAAGTGGAACAAGAGAGGGGCAGAGGAGGGGGAGTGAGGACAGGGGAAGAGGAAAAGGGCGGGGAAGAAGAGGTGGGGAAGAAGAGGTGGGGAGGAAGAGAGGGAGGAGAGGAGCGGGGGAGAGGGGGAGGAGAACTCAACAAGGCATCGCGGGTGAATCTGAGCCTCGCGTGACGAGGGCCTTGACGTTCGGCGGCACGGGCTGGGGAGCGAACGGAAGCGGCGGCTGGAAGCGGCGCGCGTGACATTTCGCGCTGCGCCAGCGAGCCCTGGTCACTGCTTGCTCGCCTCGCCTCACCTCCTCGCTACAGCGCGCACCCGGTGCTACGGCACGCACCTGGTGTCGTCTGCTACAGTAAATGACGACTCCGCATTCGCCACAACGAATTCGGCCGTCGCATGGCGACGCGCACACGTGGCACTGCCACGTCATCGCGACCGCAACTCAGAGAGGAGACAGCGCAGCAGTATGCAAGCGGCCGCAGCGCATGACGGCACTCTCGAGGATTCTCTAACACCAAACTAGTGAGGGAGCCTGTCGGTTTGCCTGTCACCGTAACTGGCGCAATAGCCACGCGAGAATTCAGTGGCGCGAAATCCCGCCAAAATGTTCCGAACCCTAGTCGCGTAAGCACTAGCTGCGCGCACACGCTGGCAGTGAGTGCGCGTGTGCGAGACTGCTAAAACGCGCGCGCAAAGGGGCGTGGCGGCAAACGGGCTGGCTGGCGCTGGCTGTCGGGGGACTAAGGACGGAGGGTTTACAAGTAGCAATGTCGAGCGAGGAGGTATACTCTATACTGTGCACCTCACTATAGGCCAGCTGTTACGGGGTACTTTCCTGTTCAAGGGTAGTTTACCCTAAACAGACCCCCAACCTTATCTCAACCCTATCTTCATCCAACTCATCCAAGATTTCCCAGATTTCCTTGTGCCACGTGGCACTTTAGTCTTCTAGCTTTCCAATTCCTAGTTCCACAAACTACTTTCCAACATTCTCTCTTGTTCGCTATATAAACCTCTCTTGTACTTGCCAATATGAACCAATTCTCATTCAACTCTTCTTCAATTACTCAGTAACTTCTTCGCCTATTTCGCCAATAGTTCTTTCGCCAAAGTCTTCCGCCGCGTTTCATCTTCGACTTAGTCGACCCCGCTAATTCTTTAGCGGAATTAGGCCGTCGGGCCTAACACTTGGTATCAGAGCCTTCGCGGGGAGCGACTTCCAACGAGCGACCGTCAACGACGATACTACGACGTCATCGTCCCGCGGTGCTGACTTGCAGACTTGGAGTCGTCGAGCGAACATGGACGAAACCATGCACGCTGTCCCCCACGACATGGGCAACACGTTTGCCGAACTCGTGCGCCAACTTCAAGAGTTGACGTTGGAAAATCGTCAGGTACGAGCTGAAATGCAACAGCTTCGTGAATTGGCTTCTAACCCCCATGGTCATGCCGCACCAACTCTTGCGCCCAACACGTCGACTGGCGCCGAAGCGCTACCGGAACGTCGAAGCGCACTCAAGCCGCAGAAACCCGAGTCGTTCGACCCAAGTCAACGCGATGAGAACGTGCGGACGTGGCTCTTCATGCTGAACAACTACTTCGCCGCGAGCGGGGTGCAAGAGGCGGACGCGCAGCAGCGGATCGAGTACGCCGTTACGCTGCTGAGGGGCCCGGCCTTGGAGTGGTGGCGCCAACTCACGCAAACTGCTGTAAGAAGGGCTCGGACGGACGGGCATCAACAGGGCGTGGGGCATGCAGCTGCAACTTCGAGCTTAGGGAGTTTAGCTTTGGGTGTTACCACGGTTCCGACCACATGGGAAGTATTTGAAGCGGCGCTGAAAAGTAGGTTCGACTTGGTGAATGCCTCTGAAGCTGCTAGGAAGCGTCTGCGTCATTTCCGACAGATAGGAAACGTCCAGGACTACACACGACGGTTCTTGAGCATCTGCAACGAGATAGACGATATCACGGTGTCAAAACTTATATATAGCTTATACTATTGTGTAGGCTGTAGTGGGGTATCCCATAGGGGGTACAACCCAGTTAGGGTTTCCTATTTGTACTCACTTCATTCATAGTTCATTCATTCTCGTTCTATTCTCAACATGGTATCGAGCAGGTTCCCCCGCGGGAACTGTGCTTAGGGCCCACCACCTTCAAAACTTTTTTCTGCCCGCAGCGCGCTCCGGGCCCTTGCTCTCTCCTTTTTGGCCTGCCCTGCGGCCCCCTAGACGCCCGCGCGAGCCGCCCTTTGCCGCCCGCGCACCGCCCGTCTCGGCACCTAGCCGCCCGCACCCACCCGTTCAGGCACCTAGCCGCCCGCGCGCCGCCCGTCCCGGCCCTTAGCCGCCCACGCGCCGCCCCTCAGGGCTCCTAGCCGCTCGCGTGCAGCCCGTTCAGGCCCCTAGCCGCCAGCGCGCCCGCCCGTTTAGGCCCCTCGCCACCTGCGCGCCGCCCGTCCCGGCCACTAGCCACCCACGCGCGCCCGTCCCGGCCTCTAGCCGCCCACGCGAGCCCGTCCCGGCCCTTAGCCGCCCTCGAGCGCCCGTCCCGGCCCCTAGCCACCCACGCGCGCCCGTCCCGGCCCCTAGCCGCCCACGCGAGCCCGTCCCGGCCCTTCGCCGCCCTCGAGCGCCCGTCCCGGCCCCTAGCCACCCACGCGCGCCCGTCCCGGCCCCTCACCGCCCACGCGCCGCCCGACCCGGTCCCGAGCCGCCCTGTGCCGCCCGTCCCGGCCGCGCTCTCCCGTCCCTGCTGCACGACGCTGTCCCGGCCCCCCCCAAGCCGCCCGAGCCGCCTGTGCCGCTGACTGCCCGAGCCGCCCGAGCCGCCCGCGCCGCCAGAGCCGCCCGAGCCGCCCGAGCCGCCCGAGCCGCCCGAGCCGCCCGAGCCGCCTGCACCGCCTGAGGAGCCGAGCCGCTGGTCCTGCGAGGCTGCTGTTGCTGCTGAGCCGGTTGAGCTGCTGTGTTGCTGTGCTGCTGTGCTACTGCGCTGCCTGACCCGTCCTGTCTGGTGAGACCGTCTACTACTGTCATGGCTACCCCTAGTGTCCTCGCTTTTGACGCTAAGGGTCGCGCCATTGACTTTGAGGTCTGGGTCGACGACTTGCAGCTGTTCTTGCAGTGCGATAGTGTGAAAAGAATGAACAGGAATGAGAATGACTAAGTCAGAGTTGGGTACAAATACAACCCTAGAAAGCTGTACCCCATATGTGCTACCCCACTATAGCCTACAAACATGCATCAGCTATAATACTCTGACACACCCCCATAGGCAAAGTGGGGGAGAACAAGGGGTCACAAGACCAGTCAAGCAAAGCAAAGCAAAGCAAGCTCAGGGTGGATCACAAAGTCACCACACAGTCCGAGCACAAGAGCAAGGCCAAAGGCCAGTTCACATGCAAGAGTACAGACATATATATAAAGCTAGACAAGCAAGAGCAGGTATATATATATGTCACAGTATGGCCTTGTTGTCTACGTACAGCACTGGAGGAGAACGAGGCGGCTCTCCAAGGTCAGTCAGCAGGTAGGTGAGCCAGCGAAGCTCCTGTGCAGCCATGGCCCCAGCGTAGATCTCAGCCTCACAACTGGAGCTGAGAACCGAAGACGAGCGAGTAGACCGCCACGAGACAGAGCCGGAACCAAGGCTGAAGGTGTAACCCTGTGACGACCGCTGCGTAGCCTGGTCGTCAGCCCAAGAAGCGTCCTCGTGCCCTGTAAGGACCACTGGACTCCGCCCTCCAAGCACTAGGCCCATGCCCGACGTACTGCACAGGTAGCGCAACACCCTCTTCGCTGCAGCCATGTGCTCTGGTCGGTGTCTCCCAGGAGCAACATAGCGTGCAAGAATGCTCAGAGGGTATGCAAGGTCAGGTCGTGTGCAGGTCATCAGGTACATGAGGCAGCCAACAAGCTCTGGGTACGGGCCACTCGACTCTACGGACTCATCCGAAGGCAGAGCTCAGAGCGAGTGGCGAGTAGACAGAGGAGTGGCCTGAGGCGAGGAGTACGTGAAGCCGAAGCGCTGAAGGACCTGCTGCACCATGTGTGACTGAGTCAAGGTAATGGTGCGGCGTGCTCTGTCCCGAGTGATCTGCAAGCCAAGGTAGCTGCGCAGTTCACCCAGGTCTGTGCACGTGTGTCTCTTCAGCAGCTCGAACTTCACGTAGGCGAGTCCAGCAGTGTCCGCTGTGGCAAAGACCAAGTCGTCGACGTACACGAGGATGTAGAACGGCGGCAGAGAAGTGTCGGTGCGCAGAAACAGCGACGGGTCAGCAGTAGAAGGAGCAAACCCAAGAGCCGCAAGCGTAGTCCTCAGTGTGTCGTGCCACTCACGCGGTGCCTGGCGGAGACCGTAGACTGGCCGTCGGAGGCTCCACTAGGTGCCAGGAGGGAAAGTCCCAGTGAAGCCAGGTGGACGGCGAAGCCAGATCTCCTCGTGCAGGCTACCCTGCAAGAACGCAGTGCTGAAGTCGAGAGAGTGAAGCTCGTAGTCGCGCTGAGCGGCTATGTGCAGCAGCACCCGAAGAGTAGTCATCTTCGGGGTGGGAGAGAAGGTCTGAAAGTAGTCAACTCCCTGCCGCTGACTGAAGCCACGAGCAACGTACCGTGCCTTGAAGACAGGTGGAGAGCCCGGCGGCCGCTTCACCCTGAAGATCCACATGCCACTGACGATGTTCGCCCAAGGAGGGGGAACCGCGTCAACGTAGGTGCCTGTGGACTTCCAGGAAGCCATCTCTGCATCCATAGCTGCCTGCCACTGAGAGGAGTAGGGACCCTCTACGGCCTCCGCGTAAGAACGCGGAGTCGGGATGTCTAGTGCATCCGGGTCTCCCTCAGGGGCAAGCAGTACAGACGCGAGATGAGGTGAAGCAGCCGCTAGACACTGGAACTCCTCCTACCTGTCCTCTAGGACGTCCGTGCCAAGAGCACACTCACCCCCGACGGACGGAGGACAGACAGACGCAGACTCAGCAACAAGACTAGCAGCGTATTCGAGACGACAGCGAGCAGCAAAGTCGACGAGCTCAGCGACTAGAGCAGACGTAGCAGTGGACTCAAAAGAGGGGTCAGTGACGACAGTAGCAAGCAGACGCGTGACAGTAGGACTGGCAGCACGAAGAGAGTCCGACTCAGGGTCGGCAAGCGCAGGAAGAGAGGACTCAGGAGGAGAAGGCAAAGGGGCACGCAGAGGAGCAGTGGACGGACGCAAAGACATCCGGTGCGTGCCAGGGACAGGA